CCTGTCCGTCGCCTTTATTCAGGACTCCTGCAGAGTGGCTTCGTGGCCTCAGCAGGATGCCGTCCTTTTCATCCGACCGCTTCTTCACGGTGCCGGATCTCTTCAGGAACGATATCCTGCGCTTTCTCGTGCCCGAGTTGTTCGCCTCGGGACAGGCGACCTCCATGTTTTCCTCGAACGTTTCGTGCGGCACGTTGGGCACCAGGAAGTGGACGTGAGGGGAGTTCAGCTCCATCGACTTGTCACGGGGCGACTCAGGCGACGGGCTGGGCTGCGGGGAGCCGCCATCTTGGATGATACCATTGAGACCCATGTTGAGGGGGCACAGCCCGAGTTTGGAGCTCTCCTCACTATGGTCCTGCATGTACTTGGCCATAGCAGCGATATCCCATCTTTCCCCAATGCCACATGTGCTCCAGTCCGAGTGCTCCTGGACAACACAACAGGAAAACAGAGATTTAGTACTTAACATTTCACAGAACTTTCGAGGCACAGTGATTGTTGTGACAAAGATATACTTTGGACAACACCGGACACAGCTGAAGGTATCCACCCAAAAAGGGCAAGGACGCCAAAGCTCTCGTCTGGCAGGGACACTGAGTGTGCGGAGGCCAAAAGCGATCATTTTTCACTGTGCCAGCCAACTTTTAAGATAATACTAATACGATTTACGGTGGCAAGGTAGTCTAGGGTTGTGGACTCAGAATCCGAAGGTTTATGAGTCCTTGGCAGGCCCCAGTGGTGTGTTTCTTAGGCACTTAACACCATTTCCTCTGAGTACCTAGCTTCGGTTAGGAACATTCTCTTGGATAGGACGTAAAGCCAGAGGAGCAGTGTTTCAGGACAGCCACTCCTTCAGCATTAAAGATCCCACCACATTTATAAAAAAAGCAGCGATCCTTTCTGGTGCGAGTGGTTAAAAACTGGTCTCAGGTTTGACATCTTTGACAGGGTGATATGATATTCACCTATTATGTCAATCTTTCCACAAATGTGGTGAATCTTCATAAGACACATAAATGAATAAATGTATACAAAACTAAATGAGTTATCCCTGACTCAGCAATAGGGACCCCTAACACAAAGAGTAAGCACGTGATGTCAGTTATAGGCACAGACACTCGGGAGCATATCCGGTCATCTCGGGACTCATTCACATCCATAACTGGCAGAGTAAGAAGGCTCTTGGGGGGGGGGCCTCTTAGAGTGAACATTTGGGGGGTTGGGATCTGGTTCAAAAACTGCTGAATCAGCAAATTTGTGTTCCTAATGAGTTTACATATAGCAGAAAGGAGGTTGGATAAACAGTGCATGTCTGTTCCATGAGGTAGGCTGGAGACAAGGAAACATTGTACATGTGGTCAGCACATTAATAAACAAAATGTCTTTCAAACTAGGGTCAATGGCCAGGAGTAACCCCCAGTTGGCCACTTGCGGGAACACAGTGTGAGGAGAGGTCAGTGTATACAATCAAAAACTCATACATTTACAAGGATGGACAACAGATAAAAACATGAGATCAATGGCAAGCTGGCCAGTTCTCGCAAGGTATCATTAAAAAAAAAAACTTTCTGCCATATGCTGGAAAATGACACGTCATCATGGGCAGAGATTGGGCCATATGTACAGTCCTAAATAGTGCCAGTTGCAGTTGTGCTGGACAAGTGGTAAGCTTAGGGAGTCCTTTAATGCTTAAGAAAAAGTGGCCATTATGGCCAGATGACCGGCTTTTAGAGGTAGTCACTCCTGCAAGTTTGACTGTACCTGAGGAGTTGCCATCTATATCCTGGGGTGAATGACCTCAGTGTTCTCAGCCCCACATGTGGTACTCTCTAGGGACAGTCATCTTGCCTACAGACTAATTTGGAGGCAGGCAAATCAAACAAACCCAGGCTGCTTCCTGTTACCTCAACCATCCAACAGGTCAACGAACTCTACAAGACCAAAGGTTGAAATTTTAGCCAAGAAAATCAGGGTAAAATTCTTGATTCTTACTACAGTAAAAAAACAGCAAGAACATTGAACCAGAACCCAGTTTTACTGCATTGAAATCATTTTCGTTGCCTATAGGTTATATCATATTCCTCATAACCCATTTTGATATCAAACACAATGTACACCCATATAACTGTTAAACGGTAGAACCTCGTATACTTTTCCGCCTATAATAAGAACATTGTGTCGACCCCTTCCTGAGGACAAGAGACTTGGCAGGGAGGAGGAGGGAAAACTGCCAAACAGACCCCGCCACCTGTTTACTGTTAACCAACCTTTCAACAAAAACCACATGAGGTCCCTAGGGAGGACCTATATATAGTCTGGGGACTAAATATAGACTAGCAAGTTCCAGATGAGTTAAAATGGAAGATTAACTCCTTCTGAAAGTTAAAGCCAGTGGTGTCTCAGGTCTGGGGATCTTTGCTCTTTGTGTTGGTTCTATGTAGTTTCAGTCATCATTTATAAATATGGCAAAGAGTACAAACAGAATGAGGATCAAAATTACAGTACTTATTTTCTATTTTTCAAATGGTATGTATCTTGTGTTCTTTTAGCTCACAAATATTTTCAAGAATTGTTCTGAAAATTCCAGGACTGCTTATTCCTCACAGTACTCTCTTGAGAATTACCAAAAATTAGCCCACCTATTTCATTGTGTGTCAAGTTAAACTTAGCAACAACAATATTTTACACCCAACAGAGGTAGAACTGGAGCAGCTGGATAAGTAATATTTGAAAATACATGAAATGTTTTACCACAAATATGCAAAAAGTGTCTTCGTCAAATACTACTGTGCCAATGGCTATTCATAGTGGCATTTGTTTGTAAAAAACAGTTTTTTCAGGACATAACACCAGTCCTGACATGTCTAAATACAGAAGAAAGGAAAGAAATAAGAAAGTAAAGAGTGAGTAGCATCTGTTATGTGTCAAAAGTTCATGTGAACTACAGTATGGTGTCCATTACATAATCAAGTGTTACTGAATGTCAACAACATTTGTCAGCTGAAAGAAAACAAACCTAAAATCTATCACCCCACTGAACAGAGTTGTGACAACGTAAACTGAGGGCCAGGGTTAAAAAGCCACTGTTAAATGGCATGAATTGGCTTAAAAACGTACTCAAAGTCTTATAATCATAAGACTGCAACAAGGGTAGGGTAAGATTTATTCAAGTGACTGTTATGAGGAACATGATTTTCTTGCCCTAAAATTCAATACAAAGTTCATTCATATCTAGCCTGGATCCGGATGCCAGACCATAGTACGCTAGGCCCAGAGTGAATCAGAGCCTAACTGAGTGGAGCTGTGATATAATTTCCTTGGGGGCATGTTAGCTCTGCAGCCTAGGAACTGGCCTGTGAGGCCCTGGAAACAGTCTGCCACCCAGATTAATTCATATCCTGACTGGCCACTGGCACTGGCTGAGTTCAAAGGAACTGTCAAGATGCTCTCTATAAATTGCATCAAACTGTTTTGAGATGGAAGAAATCAGCGGATGTGCTTATTTTTGTTGGAAAGTTTTTCAGCAGGGCCTGACTTCACTGGAAACCTGAAGCTATGCCTGCGTCATCCTTACGTAAATGGTGGCCTGTCAGGACTAACTGTGAAAGACTTCCAGCTGACAAAGGAGCTGCTAATCCAACAAACCCTGGCCCACACCTGTGATTTATTTTCCTCCATTCCTAGATTTAATCCCTGTGTTAACTCCCAAATACTCTACGCACAACAATACAATGTATCTACTGCATTTTTAAAGGCATCCAATGCAATTTCAGAGCTCAGGATTTTCAAAGTCAATCTTCTGGTCATTTCTTTTTCATTTTGCAAGTTGAATCAACCAAATCCAATAGCATACTGATATCTGTAACAGTGTGAGGCAAAAATGCAATGTCACTCATGGAAAATGGTTGCTTGTTTTGTATTGTAGGCTGGTTCTAGCTATTGATGGGTGGTTCCCAAAAATGAAGGCACACCTCATGTATCTTGTTTCTTGGCTATTTCAAATGCTTCAACTTCAAGTGATGATAAAAATGTGCCAAGCAACGGGTCAGTACATTACAACAGATTTCCTCATAAAGAATATTTTTTGTTTTGCCCCCCTAAAATTGCATAGGATATAGAATGCCTTTAAAGTTTTGCTGGTCCAGTATTTGTGCACTCAAAGTTTTGCTGGTCCAGTATTTGTGCACTCAAAGCCAACAAGATTCTGAATGCACACATGTACATGTATATTCTGAAGCAGAAGAAAATGACTTGCGATGAATACTGAACAAGGTCTGTCTACACCATAATTAGAAGTCAACGGCGGAGGTTTAGAGAATTGGCTGTCATCACCAACTGCTGTGAGCAAATTGCAGACATTTATATCCCCATGCTTCCTATGTTAACCCTATAGCTTGATGTTGACCCCAGCGCTATTTTTCCTTGCAGTAATGTGCAAAAAATGATACCCTCTGCTCCCCTAAAATTAAACCTTGCATATCAAAATGACGACTTCACATCGCATTTCTTTTTAATAAGCACCATAAAGGTCCAGATTTAGAGTCCGGAAGGTAGAATTCATGCCTCGTGTTCACGGCTCATGTATGTTCTTAAGTACGACTGCCTTTTAACAGTTTCTTTTTCCATTAACCTTGCCCATCAGCAGGCTAGATGGTAGTCTGAATGACGCACATGCAAATTGCCCTATCTGTGCCGAGGCGTGCTTGGGTTATTGAATATGAGTCTTCAGGGGCAGACGAGGCAGGATCACAGCGTGCATGTTAAACTCTGATTTTCTGAGATCAACACTTTGTGCAAGTGTTGTTTTTTTATCACACTTTGTCCATAAATTTGGGTCAAAATCTACAGTTCCTTTTGCTAAATTGTGGAGAGTATGATTGTGTAAGTTAAAAAAAAAACTGTTACTACATGTTATTACGTATTACGAAAATTAACAGACAAATGTTACTGTGCTGGACTAAACAGTCTCTAAAAATAACTGTTGCTATACTATAATGTAATTTTTTTTCTTATTCTGTATCTTCGTTTCTATACCTTTCAGTTTGACTTGATAAGCTTCAGTTAAATTTTTGTACCTTCACCTATTACATGTAGGTCCTCAGCCTTCACATTACAATTTACCAAAAAATGGGTCACCTTTGTAAGCTATAATTAAACACCAGTAAGTCAGCGACTGGCCACAACTTCTTTTGAAAGTTACATATTCGTCTTCCTTTCTAGGCTAATTGGTATATATACAGTCCTGAATGGCATAGCCTGAGCACTTTTTCATGTTGAGGCTGGTTGGTGTCACAGGGCAATCACAAAAATTACGTGTGATGACCACTTAAATACAGGCACATGGTTCTCCTTAAATATTGCAGTCCTATAGGCTTCCATAATGCTTTGTGCATATTAGTGACCAGGCCTCTGGACCAAGAGGTTGAG